AGTAATGAGTTATTTATGTTCTTTTTAGAAAAAAATATTACAAGACACAGTTTTCTAGAGAATGTGTACCCAAAATGACTCATCCATTAGTAATATTATAAATTTCAAATAAATGCAGTATGCAGAAACTAGGCCATTTTAATATTATTATGACATGTCCTCAAATTAATGAGACATAAGTGCCAAATTCTCCAAGACTAGCTATTTTAAAACCCTTAAGTAATACCCCAGCAAATTAGCTCAAGACATCCATGAGTTTCTTTGAAGGATTTTTTGTCCATGAATTTATCAAGCATCCAGCTGATAAGACTTAAGTCGTCTCTGAATGGACATATTCACAGTGGCATTCGAGATATTCCTTTCAAAGTTAACTAGAGCCGTGACACCTTTATCCAACCATGAATTCCCTTTTAAAAAAAAAAAAAATAATAATATTATCAAACCATTTTCAAGTAAATCTCTAAGTCATTTAGCTTTATAAAAATACTAAACACTTGCCAAAGACAGAATTGACCATACTTACTTTCTCTCTAATTATTTTCCTTCACAAGGTTATAAAATGCTAATGTGAAATGAATAAAAAGTTCTTATTTTAAAGCCCATCTCAAGAGAAAACTTTTTCTTTCTTAGTTTTGTATCGCTTAAGGTTAAAAGTTTATCTTTGTCCTGGTTTGGAAGAGTTCTTTTCATTTTTTATCTATTTTACGGATGTCAGACAGAACAGAAGTGAAGGAAAATTCACCCAGTGGAATCACAGACAGCAATGAAAACAGCTTTTCTGGTGGAGTGGGAAAGGATTTTCTCAGGTTTTTAAAGGTGGCTGTGTCCCGTTAGTGATATTTACCTTCACTTCCTGTCCAGATGACTGGTGCCAGACAGAATTGGTAGTAAGGGGAAATCACCTTAGGGGCACAGACAGTATTAAATGGAATAGCAAGGTTTTAATACCTACTCTATTGAAAACTAAAAGAAAAAAAAGTTTTGTATCAGGTTGTGCTTTAATGCAGAACTCCGAGCAAAAACTTCTTTATATGTCCTTGTTTGTTGATTTCCTACCTTCAGTGAATATATAATCCAACTTCTGGTTCACTCAATAGTTGCTCTGAAGTAGCTTATTTATTTTCAAATCAAACTGTTAATTCCATTTGGTTTACTGTTTTTTAAGACCAGTGGCTGCTATGCCTGCTATTCCTCCAGCCACTGGTCTTGGCACATCCCACTTGCAGTGGTGGGTGAACTGCGACTCTCGAACACATCCAACATGTACAGGCCTAGAGTACCCACCCACATTCACTACAATTTTCTGTGGTTGATGGGAACTGCAGTTTCCTTTTACTGAAAGAGAGAGAGAGAGGATATGATGCAATCCCTGCTATTACACCTCCTACTTGACAGAGCAAATGCTGTTGTCTTTTGAAGACGATGAAGGTGATGAAAATTCAATTCAACTTTTCTCCTATATGGCGAGGCTTTTAAAAATGTTATTAACTGTTTAGTGTTTTGTGTAGGGGGTGTACTAATGGGTGATTTGTTGCCTATCCTGGAGTTCTTCTGTAAGTGTTATTGGTGCACTAACCTATAGTAACCAATCAAAATCCAGCTTCATCTGGTCTGATTTCAGCAGTCCATCTAGTGATTCATCTCGTGCAGGGTTCCATGGAACCATAGGCGTCCTCCAGACGTTGCTAGGGGTTCCTTGAGCAATTAACAATTTCTGCATCTCAGATCATTTTAGATATCTGTAAGGTTGTAATTCTTCCCAATGACCACAAGTGTAAGGATCATTCTTCCCACTGACCGTTACTAATGTATCATGAGTTGTAGATATAATACATTTTATCAGGGGCTCCCTAAGACCAGAAAGGTATTACAAGGGTTCCTTTGTGTTGAAAAGGTTGAGAAAGGCTGATCTAGTGGTTCATCATGTGTGCACTCTTATGTATTACACTGAATAATTATGTCTGTGGATTTACTGTGGATCTTCAGCATTACAGGAAAAATTCAGGCAAACAACACTTCGATTTTCTGTTTCATTGCACAGCTAGGCAAGGGACACCATTGTTTCCTTTTTCAGTTTTAGAGCTTCCTATATCACTTCTCCACTTTTGACAAGTAAACTAATTTTTTGGAAGCCAACTCTTTCAAAAGGTACCTGTAGACTTATCTTCCTGGCTGTGTTGTCTGGCAGGCATGCCTGGATTACAACACTGGCTAAACAAAATCTTTTCATTCTTCTGGTAAAATATGTTTTCTCTCTTTACTTTTTATTTCACCCTCTGTCAGCTTTTGAATAGCTCTACTTGTTCTAGAGTCAAATTATTTCCAAAAATAGTTTTGGAACCCTATTTACACCACTTAGGTATTTAACAGTCCCTGTGCACTGTTTTTTCTTTCCTCTGGGATACAGTACACACCATGCTACACTGTTTCTAGATAAGATTTTTTATTATACCCTGCATTTTTCAGCTTTTTTGGACCATTTTATAAATACCTTTCTACACGTGAGATGCCTTTAAGAACTTTATATAATATTTTACAACCGTGTGACAAAAGAGCTGTACAGTGAAATCAGTACCTCTATGATATACCTTGTAATTTCTCTCCTGATACATCTCCAGAATTTCTGATAGTCCTTCCAAATGCCTGCCAAAGCTATTGTTTATTTTAAAGTTGATGGAACAAAGTATCCTGACATCTGGGGTTTAACTGTAGTTCTGTATCTCCATTACTGTTCAATCATATAGCATGAAAAAAATATATGCAGCACAAATGTGTAGGATTGTCATTTTATGTCATTCTATGGTGTTTGTGAAGGCTTGCCACATGGATGCTATCCATCGTTCAAGCCTGGATATAGTGGGGTTGATTTACTAAAGGAAAACAGACTGTACACTTTGCAAAGTGCAGTTGTACTCTGCAAGGGCAATTTTTCCAGAGCTTAGTAAATGAATAGAAGCTCAGTCGATGTCCATAATCCAATCACCTGCAACAAAAATGCTTTTTTTTTATTTTCATTGCATGTGATTGGGTATTCTTTGCTAAGCGAAGCTTTACCTCATTTACTAAGCTCTGGAACAACTGAACTTTGCAAAGTGCACAGTCTATTTGCCTATAGTAAATCAACCCCATTGTCTCCCCATCCACACCTGAAGGTGTGCTCCTGTAAACTCATATTTTCATCGCTAGTCCAATACTATTGGTATTGTTAAATGATTTGCAAGCTTACAACCGAAAAGCACAGAATAATCTGCTATAAAAATTGGAGCATTACTTGGGTGATTTGCACCGCTTTGGACAATACAATACCAGTAATAAAATACAGGATGGCTGGACAATACATCTGGCATAGAAGGCAAATGCAACCAACATGGTAGGGAAAGTTTCCTATGAACTCTGATTGCATATCTGCATGTGGAGCAAATCGCTAATTCAGCAGTTGTCACTGACTGCAGGTCCCACTGTGACTAAGCTCTGACTGGGAAAGTATCTCCATTCAGAGCTGCCAGCTCATACGAGGGGTATTCAAGTCAAACCGGAACTTTGGAGTTTTTATATATTAGGAGAACAAATTTTAAGGGGTGGAAACTGCATTTATCTTTCGACATACTCCCCTGCTACATGTGTACACTTTTCCCAGAGTTTAACTAATGCCTGGAAAGGTTTGGCATAGAAATATTTGTCAGTACCCCTGAACCATCCTAGGGCTGTCTGCTTCACGTCGTCATCAGTGCTGAAATGCTGACTCCCGAAGAACTCTTTTTAGGGGTCCAAACAGGTGGAAATCACTTGGACTGAGGTCTGGGCTTTAAGGGGGATGTGGCAATACCTCCCAGCCAAGTGTCTGTAATGTGTACATAGTGTGGTGAGTAGTATGAGCTTGTGCGTTGTCCTGGAGAAACAGAATGCCCTTAGTGATCAAACCAGGCCATTTTTTCTCCAAATACGCTAATGCACATTACTCAGAACATGACAGTAATATTCACTGTTGATAGAGGCACCACGGGCAGTCTTGATGGTAACTGTTGTCTATGAATAAGATTATAAAAATCTGTTATGATGGCAACTCGTCTCTAAGTTTTATCTGAAGCACCTACCTATTTTCTTGACACATGCAATCTATTACCATAACCAGCTTTCTCATAAAATGCAGATGCTAACGCATTTTCAGTGTCAACCTGCCTTCAAAAGCCATTGTATCCATCTGCACTTTATAGGAATGTGCATATATATGTTAAAAGAAAAATGTAAATCTATTGCTAATAAAACTAAATACTGACTAATTGTATTGTCAAGGAACCAGAGCATAAAAATGGATAGATGGAGGGTTCTTTGTATGGATGGATAGATACACAGGACTTGTGGTTAGGGTACATCTATTGTATGTGACATCCAGTTAACTTTTGCATTCATTTTCCTTCAACTTTTTTTCTGAATAATTATGTTAGTTTATCAAAGTGAACCTAAGAAGTTTCTAAAATACCTAAATTTCTAAAAAATTTTTTTGTAAAAGTGCAGCCAACCTGTGGGGTCTGCAAGTAGCTGTTAGTTAGTATTTAGATACATTCCTGTGTCCCTGTACACAAAATTTCAATTTCTTCTGTCCAATCTAGCAGAAATCTTCATCTTCTCCCAATAAGTCTATCCTCTTTCATTCATTTGGTAAATTCTAGGGCCTTCACTGGTCACTGTGGATTAGCATTGGGAGGAGTTGGGCCCTGTTGCCAGTTTGGACAGAATTCTATAACTTTTTCCTGGCCAAGCTCATGTGCTGCACTGAGAAATATAGGAATACAGTACCAGAACCTAGAAATGCAATTACTATGTAGATATTTAACTCCATGGTTAAGGGTTCCTGGGCCACATAGAGGAATATTTTGGAGAAAAAAGTACTACATGCCATCAGGTTGTCGTGTCTGCTTTGAACTTGTTATCTTACCTTTACAAGTTTACCTTACATTTATATAATATAGTCAGTGTTGTGAGCTACTAAATTTTTTAAGACCAGCTGGTGTAACGGAAATAGATGTATGTGAAGATTCTTATTTATTCTGGTCATGGTATATCTATTACTAGTTAATCCTACCAGGGGTGGACTGACCATTTGGAAACTCGGGCACTGCCCGAGGGCCTGGGGTCAGTAAGGGGCCCCATGAGATGCCCTTTGTACCTTTTTCATAGGCTTTTTTGAGCTTGGGAAGGACACAGGGGCCCCATGATCCCCTATTGCCCGGGGGCCCCATGAGTTGTCAGTCGGCCCGGGTCCTACTCAATTAGACTTGTTCTGTATTACTGAAGACATTTTGTAGCTTGTCCCAGTTAGTGAACTGAAGAAGTGGACTAGACAAGCTAAGAAACATCTTTAACAATAGAGAACAAGTGCAGCTGAATGGTCCTAACTACTATTTTGTGTATAAAACAGACGTAGATATGGTTTATGATAGAGTAATATGGGGTGATTAAGCTCTTGTAGTAGATAAGCTTTTAGTGATTAATTTCAGTACAAACTGCAGTTTAAAAGCATGGCAGCTCATTTATATTTTAAAAGAACACAGTAAAATCCTTATATGAGGTTTTTCAATGCATGGATTTCAGTTTCACACAGCAAAACAGGTAGCAGAAAATGCTGATCCACCTGGCTACCTTTTCAGCTGCACCACTGCTCTTGTACTGGTCCCTCTGACCATCACACCAGCTCTTCTGGTTCTCTGAACTCTCTGTTGGATCACTCAGCCTGGACTCTCAATAGGGCTCTCCTGATACCACTGGCTGTATCACTCCTCTTACAAATTTCTTTGGCCCCCCCTGGACTCTAATTGTCCCAGTTCCTTGTTGCTTAGCTGCCCCAATTCCCTCAGTCTGAATCCTCCAACATGGAGTGCAGTGTCTTGAGAAGAGCAGCTCTGTCTCCAGACCCCTATTCAAACAGGAGCACACCTCCCTCTTGGCTGGAGCCACGAGTTATGCCCAAGAATGCATTATGGGGGCTGTGTGCACCTAAACACACACCCTGCTGGCCTTCAACAAGACCTGGGCACTGGGTTGGAGAATTCTTCCTTCCCAAAGCACTTTGAAATCTCAAAATTCTGTAGCCCAATCCTGTGATACTGTAATCCTGAGAAAGCAGTAAAACCATTTTTTTCAACTCAAATTCAAACTCCAGAGTCCCTCATTCTGCATACAAGTGAACCCTGTGTCCTTTTTACAACCATTTAATCTGTGACAGGGCATCACACAACAGATATGGTGCTAACAGTCTTCATTTCGATAGGCTTATCTCCACTTTACTGTTGCAGCCATTGTGCAGGGTATCTAAATCTGACTGTGTGCTCCAATAGGTACCAAAATGACACCATCTGTGATCAGTAACCAGCTCTCTGTAACAGAAATGGTCTTATAGGCCCCCTCCTCTATTCTGCAACATTTGTTTATAAGGACACTTGTTATGAAGGGTGCAACTGTTACTCAGCTATGCCTGCAGAGAGCATTGCACTGGGAATGCAGGAAGCAGCATTTTCCTAGGAAAAGTCAATCACAAGTCGTAACATGCAGGCATACAAGACTAGAAAGAGATAAAAAGTGAGATACTTCAATTTGAATTTAACTAACTTTTCAACCAAGGTGATAAAAACTCTTTGACAATCTTATGAAAATTATGGGATTTTTAATTAGTGGCCCTATAAACCTCATAGATACTTTGCCATCTTGAATTGCCCAATATTACTTCTACTAAGCTGTGTTCACCAGCTAAACAACACTTTCCAATATAGCATACTTTACCCATTATGACATTTCCTATACATGTCAACCTGCAGAAAATACATATGATTTAAGTAAGGAAAGGATGGTGCAAGTGGAAAATAAGCTGAAATAAAGGCACCAGATCTGCATCTCATGGGTGAAATTTGTCACGTTGGAACGTAAGAAATACAAAACAAATGAACCTTTGTCATTCTGACAGATATGATTACAGCTAGCAGCAAACTGATGTCAGGCAAAACTGCCTATTCACAGCAGAGAAGGGATATCTGGCCCATGGGACCCATTTTTGCTTGAAGGACTTAACACAGTCCCACCCAGCTATTCTGCCGTAAATCCTAACAAATTGAGGAAGACTCTCCAGGGGGGCTCAGCTTCCTATAAAAACCTGGGACCATAATGCATACTACTGTGGTCCCCACAGGTAGATCTGATTATTTCAAGTGAAAGGTGTAATTAAATCCGTCCATTTTATTATGTGCAGCCTGTCACATTACCATTAGCGGCATTTGTAAACTTTGCCTTTTGTGTGGCCCAGCATCTCTGCTGCTGCTAATAAATAATTTTTACCGCAGGAGTAAACAGCCTAGACTTTATTGGACGAGCATGGATTGTGTTGTTTTCAGCAGTCATTACACAAAACTAAATATTGTTTATTGACAGGATAAATCAATTAATTAAATATTATATAACTTCTCATAGATAAAAATAAATAAATAGATGGAGTTCACATTAACAAATCTAAATAAATACATAAATCAAAAATCAATGTATACATTTACAGGGTAATAGTTTGTAATTTATGAGCTGTGTATATATACTGTACACACACACACACACATATAGAATTAAACATAAAATTATGCATCTATTTAGATGTCTAAATACATATTTATTATCACTCTAATGCTACAAGGCCCGTGAGTGCTTCACCCTTCACCTGTACATATATATATATATATATATATATATATATACTGTATATATATATATATATATATATATATGGTGCTCACAATTCTAAAGCTTAAGTACATATTTAGAGGTATAAAAATACATAAATGAATGTATTTGACAGATATATAGTAAAAAAAAAGAAAAGCAGTCACAGGTCATGAAGTAGGACACTGGGACACTGAAGCACACAGCAAACATTTTATTATACCCAACACTTTGAAAGGGCTTCACCCATCTTTATTAAGATATAAATAAACAGATGGAGATTATATAAACTTGTGAGCATGCAGTACGTGTATATATTTAACTGTATATGTCATAAATATATAACATAATCATGTATGACATAATCATGATATAATATTATACTATTATGTATGACATAATGGGGCAGATTTACTAAAACTGTTGCACTCAAAATATGGTACAGCTGTGTATGGTAGCCAATCAGCTTCTAACGTCAACTTAAATTAAGCTTTGACCAAAAAAAACATGGAATCTGAGTGGTTTCTGATGCTGCAACAGATTTTGCACACCCCAGTTTTAGTAAATCAACACCAATATGACATCATCATGATATCAGAAACCATATACTATCCCCATGTAAAAATATGTGCATTGCAATGATATCTATGGAATATATTCAGCTATACCATCAATACATAAATAATATTTCTAATAAACCATGGTATAACAGGATGATATATACCTTTACCATGACTCGTTTCCTAATTAATCAGAAAACTATTAACATTGTCATGCAAAAGTAATGTTTGTGATTATATGTACTGAACATTATACAGAGTATATATAAGTAATGAACATTATATATATATCTATATGCGCATACTTGGAAAGGAATAGCAATACTAGGTGACGACATCATGAACCGTGACTCATTAGCCGCGACTTGTCCGAGCTTTCTCATGGCCCGGACAGTGCACTACCAAAGATATATATATATATTGGGCTGGCTGTGATTTTTAATACACTCATTTTTATTAGCACAAGATTTTAGCTTGTGCTGGTGGTCAGTGGAACTTTTCCCCCTTGTGCATTGGTGCTGGTGGCCAGTGGAACTTTGCCCCCTTGTGCTGATGGTCAATGGAACTTTGCCCTCTTGTGCTGGTGGTTAGTGGAAATTTGCCCCCTTGTGCTGGTGGTTAGTGGAAATTTGCCCTCTTATGCTGGTGGTCAGTGGAACTTTGCTCCCTTGTGCTGGTGGTCAGTGGAACTTTGCACCCTTGTGTTGGTGGTCAGTGGAACTTTGCCATCTTTTGCTGGTGGCCAGTGGAACTTTGCCCCTTGTGCTGCTGGTGGTCAATGGAAGTTTGCCCTCTTTTTCAGTGGAACTTTGCCATCTTGGTGGTCAGTGGAACTTTGCCCCCTTGTGCTGGTGGTCATGGAACTTTGCCCCCTTGTGCTGGTGGTCAGTGGAACTTTGCCCTCTTGTGCTGGTGGTCAGTGGAAATTTGCCTCCTTGTGCTGGTGGTCAGAAGAAGCTCTGTTGTTGTGTTTTTTCCTTTAAGAAAAAGATGTTAATGTATGGGTTGTTTTTTCTAAACTAAAACCTCATTATTCAGGTTTAATTGCAGTGTTGGCACTTTGTGATAAATAAGTGGGTTGTGGGTTGCAATTTGGGCACTCGATCTCTATAAGGTTTGCCGTCACTGTTTATATATAGTATATATATATATATATATAAGTACTGAACATTTATAGTGACACTATTAATACATATATAATGAACAATGATGTAAAGAGATGATATATATCATAAGCATGACTTGTTTCCTAATTAATCAGAAACTGTATAACATTGTCATGTAAAAAGTTGTATGCAAATATATGTGCTGAACATTATATATAGTATATATAAATACTGAACAATATATATAGTATATTTATGTACTGAACATTTATAGTGACACTATTAATACATATATAATGAACTGTGATGTAAAGGGATGATATGTACCATAAGCATGACTTGTTTCCTAATTAATGAGAAACGGTGTAACATTGTCATGCAAAAATGATATTTGCAATTATATGTCCTGAACATTATATATAGTATATATAAATACTGAATTTAATATATATTTTTATATATATGTACTGAATATTTATAGTGACACTATTAATACATATATAATGAACTGTGATGTAAAGGGATGATATGTACCAGGCATGACTTGTTTCCTAATTAATCAGAAAGTGTATAACATTGTCATGTAAAAATGATGTTTGCGATTATATGTGCTGAACATTCCATAAAGTATATATTTATACTGAACATTTGTAGTGATGCCATTAATACATAAATTCTGAAGTGTGATGTAATAAGATGATATGTACCATAAGCATGATTTTGTCTCCTAATTAATCAGAAACTATATAGGATCTTCCTGTAAAACCATAAAATGGGCTGCACATGTATTACTATTATGTATGAATTATTTTCTAATAGGATGATCTCTGTCATGAGCCTGCCTGCTGTCCTGGATCCATTTAGAGATGTTATATAATCCATGTATGTGAACTCTGCCAACTTGCTGCA